GAAAAATTGAAAAATCAAGAAACAGAAAATTCGAAAAATCGAAAATTTTAAAAATTCGAAAAATTAAAGAATTGGGAAGCTGAAAAAGCATTGAAAAGTCAGGAAATCGAAAAGTAGGAAATCCAAAAAATCGATTTATCAAGAAATTAGGAAATCAAAAAATTGAAAATTTAGAAACGTCAAAAACTAAAAAATTGGTCGAAAGTTGTTTCGGCAGAACTTCCCTCGCTACTGAAATAAATACAATGATAATTTTTTTGTATCACCCTGTATACGCAAATCCAAAAAATATGAATGGAATGATAAATCACAAGTACAGATTCATCATATTTAGTACATTTTAGACAGGATTATTCAGCAAAATTTTGGGGTAACGTCATCAATTTTTTAGGGGGGGGTGAGCAAATACATTTTGATCAAAAATTTAATGCTAATAATAGCTTTAAAACATCTCCAAGATTTCAAAGCATTCGGTTTTGTAGTTCCTGATTAAATCAACAAAATAAATTTACGCATTCATTAATTTTTTTGAGTCACCCTGTATATGCAAATCTAAAAAATATGAATGGAATGATAAATTACAAGTACAGGCACATCATATTTTGTACATTTTAGATAGGATTTATTCGGCAAACTTTTGAGCTGACGTCATCAATTTTTTAGACGGGATAAGCAAATATATTTCGACTAAAAATTTATTATGCCCGTTATAACCTTAAAACATCTGCAATTTTTCGAAGCATTCGGTTTAGCAGATTCAAAATTAAATTGCAAAATGTTGTTTATAATTTTGATTTGTTTCCAAAAATTTGGGCGTTTCGAGCAGAAACTATTCGGAGTCATAAACTACATGTTTAGGACTATGCTATTTTATACTATTTAAAACCCATTTGCTACGTACAATGTTGAATTGACGTCATCATGTTAGTGATGGGGATGATTAGAGAAATTTTGGTTAGCGTATTACCATCTACAATTAATAAATTAAATTAATAAATATAAAATTTGACAACAATCGGCCCAGTACTTTCGGAGATTATCTGTCTAATAAACATCCGTGACGGCAGACAGACAGACGGAACGACGGAAACAAGAGACCTATTTCTTAGTCCTCTAGGGGTCATGAAAGGTCGAGAAAACATAAAAGTAGAGAGTCGGCCGACGGACTCGATTACAATACTTCCTTCGCGCTTACGCTCGGGAAGTAAAAATCGAAAAATCGAAGAGTCGAAAAATTGAAAAATTGTAAAATTCAAACATGAGAAAATTAAGAAATCGAAAAATGAAAGAAACGAGAATTCGAGAAATTGAAAAATCCCAACACTAGAATATGGACAACTTGTGTAATCGAAAAACTGAAAATCGAGAAATTGAAGAAATAAAACATCGAATAACTGTTACATCTATATTTTAATTTTTTTTTCCAAAAATCTCGATCTCTAGAATAACAATTCAACAGGGATTCATAAACCACAAATTCAGGATTATGTTACTTTTTAACATTTAAATAACGTTTATTCAACAAAATTGTAAGGCGACATCATCAATTTTAATTAAAGATTTATCATGCTTCCGATAATCTTAAAACGTTTGCAAGATTCAAAGCACTCGATTTGGAAATTCTGAAGTTAAAAAAACTCAACACGGATTTATAAACAACAAATGGAGAAGTACGTTATTTTATAAAATTTGAATAACATTTATAATTGTAACTAATCTATATGTTACAGGATTCAAATTTTGGCTAGTGTTTTACCATCCCTATTCCTTACATACATATATGTATACCTACGTACAGACAGATAGACAGGCAGACAGAAAAAGGAGACCTACTTTTTCGTACTCTGCGAATCATGAAACGTTGAGAGAACATGAAAGTAGCTAGTCGCCTCATGAATTCGCTTACAACATGTAGTTTCTTGGCTTACGATCGGAAAGCAAAAATACAAAACTATGTGCAGGTCGGTTGTAACATTATTTGTTTTTGGAAGTAACTTCGGATATACTTTTACTGAAATTACGCTATTTTTTTTTATCATTTCTCAAAAATTGTAAGTTTATCTTTATATATTTTTTAAATAAACAAGTAGTAGCAAGAATAAAAGTCATTATCCAAAAAAAAACCCGACTTCAGATTGTTTTAGCCAAGCCGGGTTTAATGACAACGAAAACTGCCGAAGGCGCTCAAGACGTGACTAATGAGCCCGATCGCATTTTCAACCCGTGTTTAATGAGTCCAAACTCACGAATTATAAAACCATGATTACAACATCGTTTAACGCCGTGCATTTGGGGACGCTGAAGAAGGTTTTAAATACGAGAGTAGAAAAATGTATCTTTTTACGCATTATATGGAATAATACTGGAATATTCAGGTTTATTTTTATGAATAAAACATTTAGAACAAATGACTTACATTATGACACCCACAACTTCAAACATCTAACACACCTTAAAAGATCATTTTCAGCCACGTGAAGCGCGCACAAATTTTCTTATTTTATTTATGTTCGTTACCTGTTTAACGCTATTAATATTCGCAATGATTCATTTTTTTATGACGACAAAATAGTTTATTAATTGGAGAAGACTTAAGTTAATTCCAATCGGTTCTTTTTCAAGCATGTAAATCGTAAAAATGTAATTTCAATAAAATAAAAACTTTAATTAGTTAATATAACATATTTTTTCTTAATTTCAAAATGTGGCTTTCATTAAGCATCGCATACAAATACATATATCATATACATATGCACAGCATGCATGTATAATTTACATATTGATATTCAATATTGTTTTATATTTATTACTTCGTCCCACTGAGTTAAACCAACATTATATTTATTTTTATGGCAAAAATTTCAACAAATCAATAAACAGGTTGCATAGATTTTTATATCTCGATTCTTTATGTTTTTAAAGGTTCACACGGTATTTTAACGTCAACTAAAGGACAACAGTAGAAGGGTCATTTTAACAAATTTGTAATATGTTTTCTTGGCATTCCCTAGTGTAAAATGCAGGAGTGGGGGTTACCCATTTCTACCCATCTGTTGAAGCTGTATGTGTACGAAAATCTCGTGTAACTACCAAACCCGCCACTTTAAAATTTGAATTGTACCTGAATGTTATCCTAAAGAAACCAAAATGCCAAACAAAAGTGTTCTTTATCCCCATCACATTAATGACATCAATTTAAGTAAATAAAATTCGATTAAGTAAATTCAACTTGTCAGCGCGTCATAATCTACTCATGTTTTTTACAATACAAAATACAACAAATTCTTAAAAACCAATATTGATTTAATGACCATAGAAGATTAAATCAAAACTAGACTGACTCATCCCTTATCGAAATTTGGTTACGTCATGTGAAATATTTTTTAAAGATCTGAAATGCGGTATCGTTTGTACTTTAGTAGTTTGCTGTTACATTTCATAATTGCTTGCACATGACATAATCTTTTAATGTGTTGACCGATTTATTATATGGATTATCTCAGAAACGGTCCATGCAGTTTTTTTTACAGTTGTATGTACCACGACCGAAACGTTATGTGATGATAAATAAGTCGATAGCAAAATTAATAAAAGTTATTGGCGTTATCCTAAAAAAGTAATAAAAAATTGTAGCGAGAGCTGTGTACAGTATTTCAAAAATGAAGAAAATTTGGTGTTAATAATTTTACAACTTTTTAGTTTCATTTCATAAAAATTAGATATAAAAATAATTTTTAAATAGTTATTAGTCATAACACGTTCGCAACAGTTTTATCAAAAAATGACATTTAAAGATATAGCGTAATTTCCACAGTAAAAAAGAAGGATAAAAAACAAAGATAAAGAACTGATAAAACGTATATGGATTTTGGGCAATAAGTCGAATAATATCTCCAAGTATAAATCACTATAATTGTACATGTGACTATTTAACTGGTTTTATATAATCTAATTCATGTTAATTTAAAACATTAATCCACAACTAGGTACACTAAAATGGATGTCAACGTCTCATTTCATTAACCATTGTTCTCGTTATCTTCTCTTCCTCAAACAACTCGCATTCCGTTTGCAAAATAGTGAAACCTAGAGTCAGGAATTCGACAGGTACAAAATAACTTGACTGTTTTGTATTCATTTCAAAAGCTTATACCCTTTCCTCCAAATTTTACGAACAGGTATTTCTCATCAAATTCGCTACAAGTGAACGACACCAGATAACGAAAGGGCCTCTTATCAGCGATATTAAGGCATAACAAACTAGACTGAATCATAATCGAGACAATGCAACAACAAAATTTCTATTTCGAGGAAACGATAACGAGACAAGTGTTTACACAATAACGAAACGATAACGCAGGCGTTTGCTACAGCATCTTTTAACGGCAGAATCACCTGAAGACTTCCCAACCGTTATTGCAAATAGCCGAGTCTTCCAGGTAAACAAAAACACAAAAAAGTGTGTCAGCAGTGGTAAATGTTTAACTAAAGCAATAATAACAAACAATGATAGTGATAATAATGAGATATAGCAACGTTGCCTTGTCTTGCAGTCTATGAAATTAAAAATTATGACCATGTATACGCCTGTGAAATATATAAGCAATGAAGCAGAACGCTGTAATTTAACAGCCAAACCTTGACCTTGTCGTGCGAGGAAATTTCACGGAGATCCAATACGGTTTTGTAATTACATTAATTAAATTACAAGATTGTATTTCACAAAATATGGAACAATTTAATAAGGGGAAACGCCGGCCTTAAAACAATAAATCATTTCAAAAATCTAGATCAAAACATTACATAAACTTTAACCAAATAAAGATTGGGTAAGTTTTAGTGTATTTAACATTGTAATAGTAAAGATAATTGGAACACCTGTAGCCCATCCCTAAGCAATGTTTGTTTTGATAAGATAATAATACCGATAGAACAATATGAAGTTTTCACAAAAAGTTACCGCCCTTAACTATTTATTAAAGCTTCTGCCTCCTACTCACCCTTCTGTAACAGAAAAGGTCCTTTTGTAACTTCTGCCTTTCTGCAGAGGGATGAGGCCCTTTAGCCTTTATAAACTTGAACATCCTTCAATCTGCAACAAATAACGGAAGTGATCCTTAACTGCCACATGGTTTTTAAAGTGGTGTTCAAAATTATTTACAAAACAATCCTGACATATGTCAAATCCCTACTTTTGTTTCTTTTACTGGCCAACGCCTGCTCGACATGCCGATAAATAAACGTTCAAAGCGTGGAAAGTGCGACAGATACGTGTAAAACATTAATTGGAGAAGATTTTATGTTAATTACCTGTGAATTTACGGTCCAATTCGAATTTTATATTCATGAATTGCACGAATAATCACGGATCTTGAACTAACGCTAACGCACCATTACACGTAGTTGAGTCACTGACCGGCAGAATATGAAAAGTAGGCGGAGAATGTGCTTTGTTGGTGCGCCAACATAACAAACGAAAATTCACCAATAGAAATGACAGCTGCGCAGATAACGTATTTAGGGAACAAATACAAATTCAAATTTTTAAGAAACTCATTTATTTCATCAACTGCCGACAACGAAAACAATAGGTATCACAAGTGAGATTATTAAATGCTTCTATAGTTTGAATGTAACGTTCTTGTGACGTCAACGAGCTATTGTGCGCCTGAGTTGACACCCAGTGTGAAAACTGGGTAGATTCTGCTGAATTCAAATCAGCACTTTCTTCTTCAAATGGAGCCTAAAATCTTCAAATTTAAAAATGCGCTGTAAACAAAAGAACAAACTTACGTTACAAAGGTCACACGTCCGTATTTTGTTACTACCAAGGGCTAACTTATCCCCAGTTTTTAAAATCGTGGTTACAGTAGCTGGGTAGTTTACTTGCAAATCATTAACAAATTTTCTCATTAAGTGTTGAATGGATTTATAAGGATTATCTATAACTATTCTATATGTCACAGGATTCAAACTGTTTAAATGATTATAAAAGCCCAACTCCTTCATATCAAAAAGTCTGAGAGGTCTTAAAATTTTTACAGTATCATCTCTAAAATCACAAAAACCCTAAAAAAGAACAGGTATTAATCCTATAATTCAATTAAATAATATAAATACTACCGTGTTGAGTGCAATATGTGATCCTCTGCCCAGAGAGACATCAGTCAGTAGCTGTGAAGCAACATCACTTGATATTTCTGGTGTAAAAATAAACTTACAATTTAATTCCTTTGCAATATCAACCATGAATTTATGCCTACAACCATAAAGTAATAAATCTTCTAAATAAGAAGACTTTGTATAACAAACCTTGCAATGTTAAGAAAATCTGTCTTATTTGTTGTGTTGGTTTGTTTTGTTACAAAATTATCTATAATACTTTTACTATCATCATCAAGGTCTAAAATTTCTGCACAATTTTTTAAAACTTCACTATTAACACCTTTTCTGATTAAATGTGATAATGAAGTTAAATGCATTGTAAATTTAAAATAATTGATTTCATGTTCCACCCTTTTGAGCAATTCTTGTCGTTCCTTCAAAGACAGATGTGAATGATCTAAAATTCTATAATAAAACAATAATTTAACTAGAATTAGAGTTTTACCTTCCACAAATAAAACAACTGGTTCAAAACGTAACTTCTTGTGCGTTCCTAGGTCCAATCCTGTTCTAATAAAATGTAACAGTGCGGTACCTGCATGACCGCACCTGTGTACAACCAAGACTCGATCATTTGGTCGAATTAGTTTGTGTTTCCCTAATAAAGCTTTAAATTTATGAACGGTACCAGATAAAAAACATTCTTTGCAATATTTGTCTTTCGATCGCAAAACTACAATGGGTGTTGCTTCTCTGCATTTGTTGCATTTGGAAAATCTGAAAAGTTAGGTTATACGAAAAATTGACTGAAACAGCAGCAGGTTTACTTACGGTGAAATTTTTTCTTTAGCAGGCATATACTTTGAATTTTCCAAGTCATCGAAATTATCGTCACCAACGTTACACATTTCGATAAAAATTAAAATAATTGTAAATGTGGCAGACTGGTTTTTGAGGTTAACTTTTCTAACAATGAGGAAAAAACGAAGATGAACACGTGAGCACGAGACACCACGATGACAATGTTGCAAGTGGTAGGCAACCATTTATACGTCAAGAAACAAAGTGAATAAAATGAGCAGTATTTCTGAGCAAATTCTCTGTTTTAAAAATTTAAATCCCTTACAGAGTTTTAAGTAATAATTACCCCTATTATTTTTTTGAATATATTAGTATTAACTGTTTTGTCAAGAAATAAAAATTTGTCTAAGGTTGTTTAGACGGAACGTTCCTCGTTCCTGAAGTACACCACAACATATCTTGATTTTGCGAATTTTATTTTTTTATTATAACCCCTACAAGTTAAAGTACAGGTAGAAAAGCATACTATATATCTCTGAGTTGTTCATTAAAAAATAGACAAATACATAATATTTTGCACATTTTAAATAGGATTTATTCGGCAAACTTTTGAGATGAGGTCTCATTTTGCAGGATGGGTATAAACAGATAAATTTTACCATACTTGTTAAACCTTAAAACCTTTGCAAGGCTTCAGAGCAATCTATTTTACTGTTTCAAAGTTAAATTGTAACAGGTTATTATACAATTTTGATTTATTTACAAAACTCTGGATATGTAGAGTAAAAAATCAATACGGATTCATAAAACACAAAGCTAGAAGTTATATTATCTTTCAAATTTGAATAACATTTTTGCTATCGTTTTTTTATTTTGATTGTAATTTTTATTATTTTGAAAGCATTTTAAGGAAGTCGTATTTAACTCCTAAGGCGTGTTCATTTAACAGCTGAATCAAGAAGGGCACCATATAAACAATAATGTTATTTCATTTATTTTTAAATTCGGCTCTAAACTGATTACCATTAATTTAGCATCGCCGGTTGCGTGCGTCTTCTGTCAAGAATTCTGACAATACTGCTTCCTAATTGGCTATCGAGTGAGCCGGTTTTACAAGCACTGCTTTCGGAATTTACAATTGTTTGGAAAGAATGAGAAAGTGATTCAATTAAATCTGATGCGTCTGTACAGTAACGTTAAAAAACTGCTCATAAATTTTAATGCCGTGAAACCAGCATGTCTGTAGGTGCCCATAATCCGCCAAAGCTAACTAAATCACGATTTATTTATAAAAATGATATAAACTGTTCAATGGAGGTTTCAGGAAATCTTTAGTGTTCTAAGTAGGTGCACCATGTTTATTAAATAAGAAACCACCAAGGCCGGTTTCTGATGGGAAAATACAACCGGCCACATCACGCAGGTGATAGGTATAAATCACTATCGCTACTAGATATATCAATAATGCAAAACAATAATTTAGTGGTACCAGAAATAAGAAAAGTTTAATTATTAATCTTTTAAGCAATTATTCCTTACTTGGGAAGAGAGTGGTTCATCATTTATTATCTGTAACATAATACATAAAAGGTGTTGAATGATAAATAAAAAACCTAGCTTTTGATCTTATTACATAATGTAATATATATGAGTTATATGACACCGAGACATATGCAAACGTGATCAACTCAGTCTTTTTAACCCCCGACTGAAAAAGAAGGGTTCCACAATTTCGACCCCTTTATCTCTTGCTCGCTCTCTCTACGAATAAACCGATTTCAATCCGAACTTGCCTGTGGCACCGTAGCTTCCAAATGGATGAACTGATTTCGATGTGGTGTTTTTTAGTTGAAAGCTTGTTTACTCGGGATGGTTGTTAGCTATGTTTGACGACAATCACTTCAATCGTTTCAAGATCATCAGCTGATTGTCTGTGTCTTTCTGTTGCACCTTGCACCACAGCTCCTAAACGAATGAACCGATTTCAATACGGTTTCTTTTGTTTGAAAGCCAGTTCAGTTGGATGGTTCTTACGAGGGTGATGAATAACTTACTTCGCATAGTCTTGAAGGGTAAAAGAAGAAAAAGCAATAACTGCATATGTAGACTTCAAGTAGGCTTCCCATAGATGATGTTTCTATAATGCCAGGTGATTCTGTCAGTAAAGTAATTCTTGGAGTAGATACTCTAGTGTGTCCAGTGATTCTTATTTAAAAAAGGAGAAAATTACAATTCGTAGTGTGATTCAGTTTTGCCTTTGAGTTTATGAGTTCTCAGAAATCACTGACAAATTTTATAGTATGGTTTTGGGCGACCCATGAATGAAGGTGCGTGAGTTAGCCGAAACTACGGGCATCTCAACTGAGAGAGTTCATTTTATTAATCTCCATTACAGTGGTGGAGAAATGAGCTTAATTTCTTAATCAATTTTAGATATTTTAAGGGTTAATTTTTTTTGTTGGGTTTTTTTAAGTATTACACTTGTTTAAAGCAAATGTCTGGATTTACTTATTTTAAATTTTCAGCTCAATCAACAGAAACCGATAAAATATTGAACAAACCTCCGCTGCAATAATGTTATAGGTCTATGCCGCTAGCGCTCACTCGGATTTCAAACTGACATCTGTGGTTGTTATGACATTCATTACATCCTTGGTATGTTAATAGCGATTTAATATCACATTTATCGTCTATTAAAAATGTAAATGTCATCCTACAGGGTCTCTTATAATACACAAGTGCTATTATGGTACCTATAAGCTCCTTAATTTATGTACTATGAGGGACATGGAATTCTGGGCAGTCTGATCTTGTCATTTCAAAAAATGTCAATGTAAATGCACCTTTAGCGTCAATATGATTGATATTTTCGAAAAAACTGTCAAATTAACTTTTTTAACAAATCTCAAGCAGTAGCTGCATGTTAATATAATTGAAACAAATTTAATAAAACTTCGACTTTGTCAATGTCAAAATGAGAAATACGCCAGGCATTAAAAGCGTGGTTATGAATAGCTAAGGCCTAGTTTAGAAATTTTGACAATTGTATAACACCTCTGCCCAGTTTTCAGTGTCTCCGATGGTAACAGATACAAATTTCATGAACTACATGGATTAGGGCAACAAAACGTTGATCTGGAACATCGATGTTAAAGAATGGGTAACATCGAACACCGAAGATTAAAAATATTGCTGAAAACCATCGTGTATGCACGCCCAGCATCGATTTAGATATATCACTAGTTAAAATATAAACGGAGTTATACTACCATTTGCCGATGTGACAAAACCCAAATGGAACGAACATGAGAAGAAGAAGCACGAAAAGCTTGATATAAAATTCCGTCAGATGTATTGGCTCTTAGAACGTCATTTCAACAATAATGTATTGATTTACAATCGGAATCTGAAACCATATGTTCTCCAGTTATGGAAATACACGATTGACAGTAATGTCAAAAATTCAAAAATCACAGAATAAGGTACTGCGGTGATACGGGTATAACCCCTGTTGTTTCAACGCTCGTGACACTGTGAATTGAGAAACACCATGACGTACCACAAGTCTTCTAGTGCTAATATTCGGTTCTACTTCAACCGTGTGCAGAATTTGGGGTTCTACGTCTAGTCCACGATCTTGGGTTTGTGGCTTAAAAGTTCCATGATCCCTCAGATGCGTTTTTTATCAATGTTCGGGCAGCAGGAGCAAGCTACTGGGGAAATCGTTCCATATAAATCCGCTTGGTTTCTTCAGCATTTCCTCGTGCTTCACCATAAATCAGAACCATATCGGTTCGTTCAATGTTAGTGTACATTGCCATTTTAAAATGAAAATTAATTCATTTATGACAAATTAAGGGTGTTTAGACGGGAGGTCTAAATCGTTACGGGTCGGTCACTATGGAAGTTGGAAAAAAAGTAAAGGGTGTTTCAAAATAATTTTCATCTAGTTTGTTAGCTTTGAAATCGCTTCAACTCCTATTTTTCCCTTGATGAAAATCTGTAGCTATAGGCGACAAGATGTAAATCGTTTTAAAACACGTTGTATTATTTTCATTGGCGTATCATGAAAATTGATTTTTGTTTAATTTTTTCTTGAAATTGAGGCAGCAATTTAAAAAACAAAGCCTGACGATTTTCTTCATTTAAAGTAAGCTTTAATGGATTTTTTCCGCCTCTATTTCAAAGTCAGGGTGTAGACATATTTTATATTTATTCCTATTATTTTCAACAGAACTAATTATCTTATAAGTACCAAGAGAACGCATTTCAGTATCACTACTACTCCAACGTTCTCTGAAGCAACATAATATGTTGAAGTTGCTTTATCTAACATAGCTTCGAAATGTGATATTTTATCCGCTGAAGAACCCAGGATATTCATATTGTTGCGTTAAGCGGTAATTAAAAATCGGCTTGGGAGAAACTCAACAATTTATTTCTCAGTAACTCAAATTTACGACTAATTACACAGCGATTATGTACAAAATAATTCAGACGCAACTTGACTGGATTATCTCGTTGACTGAATGAATCGTTCCCAAAGGTGGCCTCTATTTAAACCCACACTTCCTTTCTAGATGTACAGCGACGGAGGTTTTTCTGGAGTACCCATCGCGACTTCCGCTTCCAGGTTTTTCAGTCACCCATAATCGCCATACATACTAAAAACCTCTCGAGAAAACCCATAGACGTAGTCCTGGGGGGCGTATGTGTTTATTTCGTAACAAAATGTATTACCTCGAAGGACTTACTTAAGATTTGTGCTTAGATCATTCGTCTTGTTCTGTTGAGGATGTTTTCGAACCTAATGTTTTTTAAGGAAACTGATGATTGTTAGCTTTAGATCTTAGACCTACTTTTGGATTTTCAGTTTCGAAAAAGTTCCAGTCTCTTGATTTGAATTTACAATTTGGCTAATACAGAGAGTCGTTTGTTATTTTATTATATTAAATTTTTCATTACGCTCTAGGCTATTTGATAGGGTTGAAGAGCTATATACATATATTTATTACTTGTTTCCGTTGCTGACCCTTCCGGTATATCCTCAAATTCCTGGAGTTGCCGCTGTAAATTCGGAGTTATTGTCGATATGCTCCAAAATGAAACACTGTTTATTTAATTTTCGTATTGATGGTGGGTTTTTGTTTATTGTCGGTTATCTTCGGTTTCATTGCCACCTAATAGGTATGATCAAAATTTGAAGTTTGTTCTTTTTTGATTTTGTTAATTATAAGAATATCCATTAATAAGTATGTTATTCGGTACTTTACATAACTGGTGTTTTAAAATTGAGATCTCTTCCGCCAGTTTTTTAGTCTTAACGTTACTACTTCGTCTAAAATCTGCCGCAGACTGTGAACATTTAAGCCAGACACTAGACTTTTTAAATCTTAATCCTATGCCTTTTTATCGTTAAGAGTTAAAGTGTTTCTACATATTTCCGATTCTGGTATTGTTTTTAATCATTCTTGTTCTTCCTTGGTATACTTGACTCCTGCACTTTTTTAGTTATTCCTTCATTTGGTATACGGCACACATGCGTAAATCATTTATTGGTTTATTTTGTAATTTCTGCCAGTATGTCCTCAGTCCTTATTTTATCCCTCATGGTGTCCTGGTTTTATTTTCTATTTTTCTTAAGAATATAATATTAAACCGTATTAATGTGGTTTCCAGTTTTTCTGTCATTGTTTATTTTTTTTTGTTTATTTGTTGAGCAATCTCCTTTTCTCTCTCCTAGCAATGTTGTTCTAATTTTATTAAACATTATTCTTATTTTCTTCACTCTTTCATTTATTTCTTGATCTATTTTTCCTTGCTTTGTATTATTGTTCCCAAATTTGCACTTGTTCTATTACTATTCCATTGAGTTTTTTGTTATGAATTTTCTTCTATCCTGAGATTATCATAGATTTTTGTATTATGTAGATGTATTAGATCTTGTGTACTTTTTCCTCTTCTAAACTCACATTGAGTGTCTTCTGTACTGGTTTCAGTCTTTTCTCTTATTTTTCTTCCCATTATTCTTGCCAAGATTTTTCCGGGGATACTGTGATACCAATCCCTACAATTATTGCAATCTTTTGGTATTTTTATTTCCTGTAATATTTCATTTATTAGCTTGTTTAATTATTGTCTTCCTTTTTCTCCCATATATGTATTATTCCCGCGTTTCCGGGGTTACATTATTTTTCTCAGATGCTTTTCCTAATTTTATCTTTTGTATGGCTTTTGATAATTTTTATTTCTGTGTTGTTTCTATTTCTTGTGATTCATTCTGCTCGTCATGTTCTTTCTCTTCATCTATATCATCCTTCGTTAATTCTTGGAAATGTTGTTGCCATCTATCCATAATTATGTTTCCATCCTTGTCTTTTATATTCGTCATATTATATTCTGTGTTCTGAAACATCGTTTTTCGCGTTCTCTGTGATTTTAGGTCATCTTCTCTGCGAATTTTATCCATGATTTTGGCTTTATTTTCTTTATTGTCTTTTTCACTTTTTTGTGGTTTTCTTTGTATGCCTCACAACATATCTTTTCCAACTATCCGTTTTCTCTTTGATGATTTTATTTATTTCTGCAGTTCATCATTCTGTTCTTTTCATCTTTTTGTTTGTTACTTTTGTAACTCCACAGCTCTTTCTTACTGCATCCGACAAGCTATTTTTGAATTCATTCCATTTTTCTGTTGTTCCAAGTCTTTCTAGTTCCTCTAATTTTGCATGTAGTATCTCTTGATATTTTTCTCAATATTTTGCTCATAACTATTCATCTTTTGTTTCATTCGATGTCTTCTTTTTCTATTTTTTCTTTTTTTATCTTCCTCATGTCCATTTTGACCACTTTCCACTTCGGTTTCTTGTGATTTTTATATTATTACCGTTTTCCACTTTCTTTTTGACTAGTTATTTGTCTCGTATACTTGTGTATGTGTTTGTATTTACATCCAGTGTTGGTTACTTATTATTACTATTACTAAATCATTTTCCTTACAAATTTCAGTACTTCTTTCTCTGTTGTTATTCGTTTCGTCTCCTTATCTTTGCTAGTGCTTAGAGAGCGATAGAGAATAACAATAAAACAGCTTCTCCTACATAAATAATTTTATTTAAATAATTGTAATATTTTACTTATAGCAACGTGGATTGGTAAAAAAAATAATATCTGATATTGTACTTGTGTTTTTTTTTTAATTTCTACGTATTTCCTAAATGATAATAATCCACTCGCTTGCTCTAACAGCAGAACAAAATCACCTAATAAAATTATTTGTCAAATGTACACTGGGATTCTTAAAACTATAAATTACACACTTATATCATACTAATACAATGTAAAAAAATAAATGACTAGCAATAAAATTTGGTTTAAAAGTGACGAGACCGTCGTCACAATTCGGTCGTGATTTCATCTTGAGGCCTAAACCCCAGTTGGGAAAAATCATCGTCTAGAAACAAGGAACTGTTGAGATATTCTTTACTGTTCTTCCAAATCGCCGGATTGAACTCCGACGTTGGCGGGTTAACAAGCGAATACTCAAACTTCCACTGAGGATTCAGAGTCGTATGAAGCGCCGACTCATAATTACAGGCAAAGTTTTTGATTGCGGCATTCTGCAAACTCAAAGATGAGCCAAATACTTGATCAGGCTTGAAAGTAGACATGGTAGTGCTGTTTCTGACTTCCGTTTCTGGAATTGGGAGGGCAGGTCCCTGCAAAAAGTTGATCAACTGGGCAACTTGGGGCTGCGAAACGTCACTCATTCGTTTGTAGCGCTTCAGGGCTTTTTCGGCCCAATTGAAGAGGTGCTCCCAGTCGTCAGGTACTGCAATCCTATCGACTTGTCGGTTCAGTAATAGGAGTATTTTGGCAAGATCGCGTAGCACAGGCTTGTAGGCAGCTAACGCACTGTAAAAAAATACACCATTAAAGTTGTGTGAGACTGCTTTTAAATTATTTATTAAATATATTCGTAGAAAAAAAAAAAAAAAGAAAACAGAAACACTACTTTATAGTTTTTATGACGAACAAAAATAGGATTGAAAGAATTTATTGTATTCGTCATTTTTATAATTTTTTTGTTACTTCTCGAGCGTAAGGTAAGGAAATATAGTAATCGCGTCCATCTGATGAACTGCTACTTTCATATTTTCTAGAATTTTATAATCCTCAGAGTATGTCTGTCTGTCTGTCTGGTGTCTGTATCCATTTTTATTAGACACGAAATCTCCGAAACAACTGATTGTTGTTTAAAGGATGTAATTTAGCTTTTTACACTATTATTGTATTTCTTATCTGCATATCAAGTTTGTTTTAATGTACAGAGGTTATCACAAATAAATCTTTTTTTTTATTTTTCAAAGTACCGGGATTTGTTGGGTTGTACTTCAGGGGCGAGGGAAGTTCTATCAAAATAACCATCGACCAATTTTTTTTGTGTTTACTAATACTAGAAATTTAAACAGATTCAAACAAATAATATTAAATTCTATTTACATTAGGTTTTAAAAATAAATTTCTCGGTTGATATAGTACTACATCATGTATCATTAGTTATTACATTACATATTAAACGAAAATATAAATGACAAAAAACTAAATTGAATTGTTAATAAACCATATAAAAATAAGTTGATAAATTCTTTATCAGTCAAAGTTGCAATAAATAAAATAAAAAAATAAATTTTAATATGTAAATTGTAAAATATTTACAGTGCAAAAAGGTTTAAGAAAAAATTGTTACGCTTTACAGCTTTTGGATAATCTTTGATTGTGTGTCTAATAATTTAGTTTTTTACACGACTAGAATTTAATATTTCATCCTTTCTTTTTTTTATTTGCACTCTTTTCTCCCAGTTCTTTCAACACTTGCATCTGAAAATACCTTCCCCGACTTTATTTCTCAACGTAATAATAATTTGAAGATTACGTAATTCATCGTCTCCATATTTTATTCACCTACGTTCTTATACAACAGCGTGGATTTCGACGGATCGTAATTGTAAAATTTCAGCAGTAAATCGTTTTTTAACGGCTTCAGCTGTTACTTGTAACCGTATTTGGTAAATGTCGTGTGATTTATTTGTATGTTTCATTGCTGCAGTATCTTATTTATCCCCAGAACATCTCAAGTCATGAAGTTAAATTATTATTTGATGCGTCAGAGTCCTTAATTGTAGACAACTTATTATATTGAGGTTTTAAACATTAGTAATTGCAATAAGCAATTGCAAGTCAGCTGATATTTTAGATTTAAGACTTGATGGAGCTTAAAATTAAAATCTTAAAAATTAAGAAAACATTCACTATTATCGGAACATGCAGATCTTACACTTTCAATACTGTTGAACTGTCACTAGGGTTAAATCATTTCCATTTCCGAAAACATTCTCTGAAAGCTTCAATTTTAGAAAAGCAATCTTGAAAGCATTGTTGCTGTTAATGAAGCTGTCAACAATCTGATGTCATTATATGTACAACAAATCGAGACTTAGTTCACCAAGTTGTGAAAAAAATCCAAAAAAAGTACATCCCACAAGCATAGAAAATTAATCTATAACGTAAGTATTAACATGAATAAGTTAATTCACCCACAACATTCTCATATGGTTCACACAAGACGGATTTTCAGTTTTCATTCTTTCTCATGCCACTTATAGATTACGAACTTCTTATAAAATTAATGTCACTCTTAACTTAACTCCTGATTAATGGGATTTTGTTTCACAGCAAAGGTGAGGTCGTTCACTGTAACTAAAAGCTACATGTAGTGAGCATGAGTGGTGGAATTTCTTTAACAACTCACTGCGCGATTTTCCGTATTTAAAGATATCTCAAAGGGAGTACCTCTAGTGGAATTCATTTTTGTATTCAACTCAGTAGTTTGTCTGTACACTTATTTAGATGCAAAAATAAATACTGGACTATTATAACAAGTTTCTATCAAGAAAACTTTATTCCCATTTATATTAGAAACTCCAAAACATTGAAAAATGTAAAAAGCTAAGACCCAGCGAGTAGAAGGCTCAAATTTGTCTTTGAAATACCATTTTGTGTTATATGCATGGTCTTATGGGGATCGTAAATTCAAATCTCGTGAAAAAGTTCCAAGAAAATCTAAGTAAGTACCATGGAGGTACTTACAAGGCTCTTCAACTTCAACTGGATACCTACAACTTTCAACCGGCTACTTGCTAAGTTTATTCATACCCAAATATTATTTTTTCTTTTTTTTAGTGGAATAAAAGATGACTGTCCAATGCATATTCGACTGTCTTTAAGCCCATATGGACTTAAATTAAGATAATTAAGATTTGCTCTTTTCAAATGTGCATTTGCCCTTAGAAGAACATTTTCAGACTTTACCCAAACAGAGAAAAAGTAGGAAACTCATACAAAATAGGGTATCACTCACATGCAATCATAAGATGGTTCAGGAGTACATAAGTACAATAACAAAAAAATGCGTTGTTCTCAAAGATATTATCGTTGGAAATAATAATGGTAAAATGGTGACAATATTCTTCTTGAGAATGAAACGGAAGAAACAATTAACCAAATGAGTAGTATTTTCAAAAGTACTAATTCCTGCTGGGCAAAAACAAAGACTACAATTACAGATGAGGATTTTACTGAGCGAAAAGGTTTTGCGAAAGAATTTCCACAAGCAAATTTAGTTCTCTGCCTATTTCTTACACTAAAAGCTTGCAGAAATTTTCTTACTACATCATCATCCACTGAATGGGAGAAAGTCAGAAAAATCTTTCAAGATATCGCTTACTCAATGGCTTAATCGCATTATGAAGTTCATTACAAGCAATTATTGTTAAATTGAAAACTCCCTGAAGTTACAAAATATTTCAATGAAAATTGCTTTTCGATGAGAACTTAGTGGGTACAAGGTTTGGAGAACTCTTGGAAAATATCAAAAAGTGGAAATTATAAAAGAAACAAGAACTCCTTGGATTTTCAGTTCATTTGGTGAACTCTTAAAGTAAATGAAAATCAGTGTGAATGTGTGTATTTCACCTTTTATAGATATACAATTGTCCACCAAACACATTCTACCCTACAAAAATTTAAAGGAAATACCATTATTTCATAAGGGATTAGTTAATGAACGATATACTAAAGAATACTGTTGCAAAGTGTTCCTGAGAAACAATTGTGCTGAAGCAGAGACAGAAAACTCAATCATCAACTTCACTGAAATGGAATATAAATCTGCTCACAAAAAATATGCAACTTCCCAACAGAAATATAGAAAATCAGAAAAAAATTGCAGCCGGCAATACTTTTTGAACAGGGCACAAGTGAATTTGAAAAATCAATGGAAATTTTATCACATTTAATAGAATTCACAAACAGTCACAAGAACTGGATGATTATGACGTTCATGATTAAACAAGCTGAATCAGAGAATGAAGAAACTTACATTAATCAAGAAAACGATGACCCGAATATCAACAAAATGATGGAATCAATTGATACTATAACTAAAAGCAGTAAGGAAGAAAATTATCATGGAAGTAATCATAAAAATGATATAAAGCAAGAAATACAACGGAAGAATGCAGCTAAAGTCTGGCAAAACATAAATGCAAATGACTCCAATTATGACTATTGCCGCTGTAAAATCTCCAGTCGATGCTGTACTCTGTGTAAAGCTGTCAATCAAAATTAGTCGCTACCCTTGTACCTTTCCAGGACCGTATTTGTTCTCTAGTAAATGCATTCCTAATGCGTAATGGTTTTATTGTAGGTAAAGAACCACTCATAAAATAATTGAGGGTAAAAGTCTTTTGCCAGACTTTACCTACAATTAAGAACAACAGTTTCAAGACAGTGAATAAATCAAAGAAGAAATTAAAATAGTAATGATCATAATAAATTTAAATGACATAAAAGACTGGGAGCTAATAAATGAGAGAATACTACGACTAAAATTGGAATTAAACAATAAAGAAAGGTATACAATAATTACAGTAGATGTACCAATTGAATCAGAAACTTGGAGGTAATGGATACATTTTGGACGAACTTACAAAATCTGGTAGAAAGAAAACATGTTAAAAAAATTAGTGGGGGAAGATTTTAATGAGAACTCAAATGGGCAAATTTTAACGACTTTTATATGGTGAATGAATTATTTGTAGCCAACACATTCTTCGAACAGTGGACAATTTGACATTCATAAATACACAATAGTCGTAGGAAGGACAAAAGAAAAATTTGTGATTGACTTACTTTTGAAGGAACAAAAGAATAGAACCAAAATTAATGACGTAAGAGTTAAAAGTCAACATGAAATCGATAGCGATCACTATTTCATCGGCGCAAAACTAAAAGGAGGTACCTACATACATATAAAGAAAAAAACAGAAAAAATGGAAGCGAGGATAAAACAAGTACAAGCAACACAGAAAGTATGTGAGATGTTGAAGAAGTCTAATCGGAGAAATTAGACACTGTGGTGGAACGGCGAGGTAAAACAAGAGATCACGTTGAAGAAAAAGACATGGGAATGATATTTATTAACAAAAGAACAGGGGGAAGATGAAATAAAGATGAAAAAGGAATAAGAGATGAACATTATTGGTTAAAAAATTTATTATAAAATTATGAAGTTAAAGAAGCGGTAAAATCGTTAAAAAATGGTATAGTATGTGGGAGTAGAAGGGAAGGCAGTTTTAAGAAATATTCTGAATAAAATCAGGAAAACCAAGACAATTCTGAAAGAGTGGGAAATAACATTACATAAGAAAGGTGACAAGATGATATGTGGAAATCACAAAGGTACAAAAGTAAGATGTACGTAAGAGTGTCAGAAAAAATGTTGCAAGATCTAATTGAGGTAACGCTAGAGGAGGTAGAAGTACAAGTGAATCGATTTTTACTAGGAAACAGATGTGTGAAAAGACCATAAAAATAAAAGGAAGATGTTAATTGAATGCACTAGACATTGAAAAGGTTCTCAGGGATAAAATATAGCACAAGAAGAGTAACACCGGATGCGATAAACGCAATACAAAGTATATACAGCAAAATTAGAAATGTTCAAGAACAAAAAAGAAGACACAGAAGAATTTAAGACAAAAAGAGGAGTTAGATTGGGCAGTATATTGAATTCTCCTTTTTTGTTATAATAATGGACTAAATTTCAAAAGCGGCGAATTTCAAAGTTAATGGTGTAATAGTAGGGTCTAGAAGACTGAACCCCGAAATCATAAAAAAAGACAATATATGCGGACGACTTAATTATTTGGCCACCTACTAAGAAGGACATCACAGAAAATCTACTATACTGGAAGAAGGAACTCAAGAAATTTGATATGAATACGAATCAAACTAAAATAATTTGTATAGAAGGTGCAAAGGGAGAAATAAGGCTTGAGCACCATCGAATTAAACAAGTCAAAAAAGGAAAATACTTGGGCTCAATTATTATAGAAAGCAGTGGAAAACTAGACAGACACATAAATAATATAGTTGCGGCAGCAAACAACTTGGACAACGTGTTATACAGGACATTTTTAAACAAAAAGGAAGTTAGCAGAACGAAATTGAAAGTTTACAACGAAGTACTTGTGCCGGTATTATTGTACGGGGCGAAAACCTGGTGCTTAACGGCTAGGCACAGAAAAATGCTTCGAGCATACGAGATGTGGTTTTTAAGAAGAGTTATGGGGGTAATGAAAATGGAGAAATTGGAAAATACAAAAAAAGAGGACTGTTAGTGATGGAATCGTTAAAAAAGAGAATCGAAAAAAAACAGCTTGGATGTTTGAGTCATGATAAGAATATCAAGTGAAAGCATAGCAAAAGAACTATGGGATACCAAAAGTAAAAAGCTTGGAAGAGAAAGGTCGGGGTGCGAGTAGTGGCTGGAAAATTACGGCAAACGTAACAAGGGCTATAAAGTGAAAAAATTTCGTAAAGCAGAACAAAGACTTAACTGAAAACTCTCTACACTGCAAGGTAGAACAACAACGAGATAAATAAATAAGTAACTTGTGGTTTATGAATCTGTTTTGACTTTTTACCATAGGCAAGTGAGTATTTTAAAAAATGAACTCAAATATTTAACAATAAACTATCGTGTTTTACTTTATAAATTTATTTTGACGCAGGCTGATCGAACTCATTTAGGGCCATAATTTATTTTTATTTTTGAAAAAATATAGGGTGCTATATTTGATACCAGATTTGTTACGATTTATCCTAATTATTACTTCTAAAATTGTTAGAATAAATCGTAACAAATTTGACATCAACAGAAAGACTACTTACAGATAAGTCCGAAAAGGAAAAACGATAATTTGCAAATCTAAACACTAACTTCAAATTTTACAACGTATCAAAGCAAGTTAATGGAAAAATCCAGAGTTCCAAATTTTCATCTTAAATATGACGGATAAAAATCAAACATGTTAAAAACTGCTTACCAGAATGTTAAAAATTGTTTTAAAAATATCTTTGTATCTGATATTTTGTTTATCATTATTACCTTCAAAAAATGTACTTCTGTCGTGTAACCTTTAAATGAAACAACTTGCATTCTTGAAAATGACTACTTTTTTCAACAAATCATGATAGATATATAATCATTCGAAGAAAAAACATGAAAGTACGAAATTCCCCAAAATTACCGTACTAGCAATATTTTCCTTAACTTACGCCCTTAAAGTAAAAAACCAAAGAAAAACTTACTGTGAATCACCCGTTCTGTGTAGCTCTCGCAACTGGCGTCTCGTGTCATTCAACATATCGAGATACGTCTCGGCATAAGGCCGTAATGTCTCCAGTTGCTTCAGGAAATCCCGTCTTTCAGGCGAGTCATCTAAATCTGAATTGGCGTCGACGTTTTGGGACAAGTGTTTTCGTCTAATTTTGAGGTAGATCACAGCTGAACCAATTAGAATGGCGCATAATACTGTTCCGGCTATGACACCAGTTAGGACGGTAGCGGTTTCCGATGGTAAACCCAGGAAGTTACCGTTGTGGACGCATATGCGGCCCATATAATCCAAACGGGTGCTCCATCTGGGGTTGTGGCCGTAGGGACACGTGGTGACGCAACGGCGGGACGGATGCACAATCAAATTAGGACATTTGATACATCCTTTGGGGCTACATTTCAGGCAGGAGGGTTCAGACAGACATCCTGCAACAGAAATCGACTAAAGTAACGCTGAGGCTGTAATCGGTCAGTTTTTTATATGGTGAAGAATTAAAATGAATTAAAATTTCTCGAACGACCCGTGCATGTTATTGATGGAAACGCTCGTGGAGAGGTAAATTACAGATTTCACATTGAATATAACGTAACACTTATCATAAACTAACTGTGCTTCATGGAGATAAAGAAATTGGAAGAGCCGATTCAAAGATTATTAATAAACTAAACTGGTTCACGTACTATTTTTTTTCTAATTTGCGTAATTAGTTGGGAAAAAGAAACACTTGTCACTGAAGCGTAAGAAATAGCTAGTCTCAGGTCGTATTTTCAACACGAATTTACGTACTAGGGTTTTTGACGTCAGACGTCATTAACTTTCTCGCGAGGACGAATAAATCAATCTTAATTAATGTTCCCACGTCCATATTCAAGTTTCTCTAAGATTTAAAAAAAAACATATCTACCTTGTTTTCGAGCTTATAAAATTCGTTTGTATCAAACTGCACATCTCAGGTGAAACTTATTTAACGACATTTTGAGATAACTTTTTCAATTTTTGTTGGGGATAAATATATTAATTCTGAAATGTACAAAGTAACACCACTAATCATTAAGTGACAGTGTTGCCGAAATTTATATCCACGAAGTCCGATTCATTTTAGAAGTGCCAATTATCTATAGCATTTAAAGCATGGACATATGTCTAATCTGTCATGGACGATTCGATTACAATCAATATTGATCACCCTATATTTTATTATCTAGTAAAGTGCTATTTTGAATGCAGTGTATGATTGTTCTTGTTACACTTTGGATACCCATTGTTGTTTTAAGCAAAAGACACATAAACTACTTAAATTAACGTTTATCGGTTCTTTATGTCACAGTTCAACCAACTGAAATTTTAGAAAACTCCACGTTAATGGTCATTCGTTTCGGTTACAAATTTGTGTTTAATTTCCACTTACAAAAAGATCCGGCTTTTATCGTGGAAACTTTCACTTACCCATCCGGATGCTGATAATCTGTCTTATTGTTTAACGCTGAATAAAATTTGTGGTTTTAAGTAGATCTCTATAAATTAGTGCTGAGAAAACAAGGACAAATTTTACTCAGAATAAAAAAGGAGATAAATTACAATCATTAGACGCTAGGTACTCTATAATCACCGACTGGCTATTACGGAGCTTTGTTTTATTAACGACCGCACACGCTTACAAACAACAGAACACTTTATTTTTAACTTTTAAAAGTTGCCGGTACTCAATTGAAGCTCTCCTGATAGTGCCTCGTCTTAACAGCGCAAACAATAAGGGATAAATGGCCGGAAGCGTGTGCTCGATGCTCGAGGTAAAACAAAAAATATTTATGTCTTTTGGCACTTAACCTCATCTAATTTTAACCTCCATAAATTAAGGTTCGTCTCGTTTTAAAGCTGCATGCGTATTTTCAAAACCGTAGCAACTATCGCAGACCTGTCGCATTATACTGGTGGATAAATCATTCTTTCAAGGCCGCCAGAAATTCTCATGGTCCACTTTCGACCACCTCTATTACTCGAGGAAATGCTAGTGAAGCGCGTCGTTCCTTTGAGAAATCCTTTCCCCTTGTTAAAACATGGAATTGTAATTTCGAGGGAAAATAGAAACCAATACCACTTTTTTAACTTCGATGACATTAGATTTTACGATACGGCGGCGTGTAGTAGTAACGCAAGAATTGTCATTTTTTTGCAGTTTCAAAGAACATGAATGACACCCAGTAACCCGCATTATGTAATCTGATAGTTATTCGTTCGGATGGACGATTTTGCTGAACCAGATGAAAGACCGCACGGAATTACCAGGAAGTGTGTCTAGGAGTCACTACCTGCATGCATCTGCGGTGCTTGGCTTTCATCTCGGAGATTTTTTTTCCTTTGACGGACATTCGCTAATTGGGTGCTTGATTATAACCTTCGTTTATCGTCTTATGATAAAAATAACAAAACAAAGCGGCAGGAAGTGTTATGAAAGAATGTAACAAAAAGTAAACTTTATGTAAACATTTGGGGAAAATATAAACACAGCAGTTAAGTGTTTGTTTTCTATAATCAACGGTAGTAAAGTTCACACATGCACATCCCAGTTTTTTGACAACTAATATAAATATTATTAAAAATGTATACAAAATAATTCATACTATGCCCAGTATATAATGCAATGAGCTGGTTTAAGAACCGCTTGCACATGTGATTGAAAATAGCATCTGTATCTGTTCTGCTTTTTGTTAAAGTTGAACAAATAAACCTAAATCGATTTTTTTAAGTTTATACAGACGTGAGTAAAAAATCATACAGTACAATTGTTGTGTCACCAGGACAAAGCAATATACATTTACGAATTATTTCCTTATAAAACAACGTTCAATTACTAGATTAAAAAAAATCTTGAGTTCATAGATAATACAGCGTAAATAACTAAATGTGGTGCACAAAACAATCTGAAGTATTATTTTTTCATTCGCAGACATAAACCCCCCTAGGGTAATTTCACTTTTCTCGACGTCTGAGTATGAAAAAGTATGTCTCTCTTTTCTGTCTTTCATCTGTTTTCGGTTTTATTAGGTAGATAATCTCCGAAACTACGACACTAAATCCTGCTCAAAGTTTATAAAATAACATGTTTTTGCACTTGTGGTTTATTAATTCGCTGCCTAGACTTTTGAAGGGAAAAAAATGGTTTAAGATTTTTTTAGACACGACTTCCTTCGCCCCTGAAATAATATTCAACACATATAGATACAATAAAATACAAAATATGTGTGCATTATGAAAGTCTAGAAATATTCAGAAACAAAAATTATACACTGAATTCAAATCGTGCTCGTCCCTCTACGCCATTGTGGAGGAGATGGAAGGAGTAGAGTAGATATAGGTTATAAATTAGCGCAGTTATAATTCCACTTTAGGTTCCTCCAGACAATACCAACATCGTTAATGAAATGCATCGGCATATTTTTTTTTTATGCTGTGGGTGTTGTGTTTATTAAAGTATAACGTTATAGTCTTGAAGTTTGATAACTCACGCCTACTTTTATCATAAATCAAATTCTCAAGACCAAATTTTTTGCAGAAGTAACAATGTAAAATGGAATAACACCTCTGTTTACCTCTTCATAAAATGTTACAACACAGATCTAAATACTACACGAAAATTGGAATAACTCTGTATGGTCGAAAATTATTTTTACGGACACTACTCAAAGAACCGCACAACTTTAGTCTCTTTTTTTTTTCTTCTCTAATACATTAATAAAATATAGAGGTCCGAGCGCTTAGTGACTCATCTTGTATGTTAAGTTATTCACTTTTGAACGTTATTAATTATTCTCTAATACCGTTATTGTTGATGATGAAAAATGATTGCCTGTTTGCTTTTAATTTAAGAAATTATCACAAAAAGAATACTTTCGACTAAAAAAGACTAAGTGTTTCTTTTTCGTGAATTGGTGTTCGAAGCGCATTGAATTTTTGGCCGATATTTTTGGGGCAAGTTTATATGGTTGTTATGAGTGAGATCTGCCAACAGCCTATTTATTTTTACTTATACATAATATTTATTAAACCGTGCTTTAGGGGCGAGGGAAGTTCTGTCTAAATAACTTTTGATAATTTTTTATTTATCCATCGCATACTTTATTTTGTACACGTGTGCAAATATACAATTATAAACTCTGTAAGTCTGTTCTCCACTACTAAGTACTTAAAATGTATGTAGGTACCTGTACGGCCACTTTGACGAATGTCTGATTTCATGTTTGACCTTTTGACAACCTGTACCATAAAAACACGAGTTGGCTTGTCTGTTGGTGAGCTGGAATTTTTTCGAAGAGACACTCTCCGGAACTAGGGAACCGATTATTTTAAAATTTTTGGTCTAGTTTAAAATGATCGTAAAAATGACAAAACATTAACCTAAAATTATCTGAATATCCCATTCCAAAATTAATTGCTTCATCTGAGAATACAGTTAACTAAATCTCATTTGAAATGTGTAGCGTTCTGCTTTACCTGCGGTTTAATATTCTACTCTTATTTTTAATTTTACGCATAATACTTGTTCTAAAAATACTATGGATTATCAAATTTTGCCGTTTATCCTAGCAAATACATAAAGCACGATTAAAATTATATTATCCAGAAAGTTCATCGCAAAAAAATTAAACCAGGTAGGACCGTTACTTTACATACAAAGTTTGATTGGTAGGATGAGAACCTGTAAAATGGCTCCACACGATATTTGCAAAAAGTAAAAGTATCAAACTTGTATATTTTACACATAATAATTAATCTAATAAATTATTGATCAAATACTGTTTTATTCATTATACCTACATACAAATACATGTGTTGTGTTGATAAAATGTAAATGTACGTGTGACTAAGATGAAGCGAACATCATCATCATATTATTGTAAACATTTGCTTAAAAATGTACCCATTAAAGAAGAAATAAATATTGCATCAGAATGCCAGTACGTACAAAGGATAAGTGACGTAATCTTAAGATGCATCCTACTTTTTTTAGATTCCGAGCATTTAGCTGACACTGAACGACGAATTTTTAATTATATATAAATGTTTCTGCTCACAAAGCCAAATCGCAAACAAATACAACAAGTACGACACCAATAACGTTCAATTTTAGTACTGTCCATTTCAGTACTAATAACACGACGAGAGAGTTATGGGAATTCCAAAGACGCCCCTTGGCAACCGACCTTTAACATAGCATAACAAAACACGTTATGGGCCATAGCTCGGGCTGTTTGTGTTCTCTGCCATCAGATGAACATTACAACAACGTTTACTTGCTTTGGTACTTATTGCAAGTACTTCAAATTGTCGATGAGCATCTTCCCTACCTTCAATAAAACAGATTAGATATAATGCAAATGGTCCAACAAGCAGGCCATTACTACTGCTACATTTGACATGATGATGT